TGTGTATGTATGTATTTACATATGGCTATGTATGTAAATGTAATGTATGTATGCGTTTACACATATAAAAATTATCATTCTTTTGTATTATCACCAAGTCGTTTGTTTTTTTGTTTGTTTTTGTTTTCCTCAAACTTTTTTCACCCCATATTCTTTAACGTTCACGCTTTACTTACAGCTGCTCGCTTGCGCGTGCATGTGCATTTGTACATACATGTCTATGCATATCTATGTACATATATGTATTTTTTGTCCATTTTCTACTCAAATTTATTTATTTTTATCAAAATTCAAAGCATTTCTATCCTAATAGACCCTGCACAGCTAAGCGTTCGTCCACAGTTTAGTGAGTTCGCTGTTCAACTCTAGCCTTCAAATACTCTTCTTACAATTCTGCAACAAGTTTTGCGCTTCAAAATTTACAAATACAAATACATCCACAACTACAACACGTCGCAGTAAATACAATAAAAATTATTATTTTTTAGTTTGTTTTGTAGTTTTTTTGTCGTTTCTTTATTTTACAGTTTACATGTACAGTAGAGATTATTATTTAATTATGTATGTTTGCGTATGATTATCACTTAAAATTAGTGTTTTTTCTCAATTATTTATTTTTATTTAATTTAATTAATATGTAGAATCCTTAACTAACACATACTACTTTGTTTTTTTTTTTGTTTTTTACAATGCATGATTTTCATGGTTGCTTTCATTTACTCCGTACATATTTTTGTAGTAAAAATTCATTCTTCATTTTGAAATGTTTTTTGTGTAAAAGTGTGTGTAGGGGGGTATGATTTTTCATTCACCTTTTCACTTATTGTGTGTACGCATGGATGTATGTACCTTTGTATGCACATTTGAAAGTTTGTAGTTGTGTGTGTTTGTCATGCTTTTGAGCTCACGCATACTCGTGCCACGTCAATGGGGCAAATGTTTTCGTGTGGTGTGGGTGTGGGTGTGCGTGTGCGTACATATAGATATGTATATGCATGTATGTAGGTTTTGTAGCATGCTTCTAGGCGCTTAAGCTGTATAATTGGTTAGCTGCATCCAGTTTGGGATGTGAATATTCACGCTTTGAGTTGAAAAATTAGGAAAATTCGCGAGCCAGCTCGTCAGCTCTGTTGGTAAATGTGGGCTTTGCCAGCAATAAAACTTGGCTTCGCGGGATATTAACGGCTTTTAAAGAGATCTAAATATGTATTGGAGCAAAAAGTCTGCGAAAATATGCTACAAAGGACATTGAAGGCGCCCAAAAAATTTAGCAAAATAAAAACAAAAAAAAAAAACATGAAAAAGTTTCGGCAGCTGCTTTCGAATATCATTAAAAGTTAATCAGCTTTTTAGTACTTTTTTCAAACATCAGCTAGACCTGCTCAGTCCAACGCTCACTGCCCACGCCTCCCCATCTGGGTTGTTTCAGGAAGTGTTGCAGTTGAGTCGCTTAAACCCATACATACATATGTACATACATACATAATGCAGCACACGCTAGTTTATCAATGTAGAAAAAGTACTAAACATTACACAAAACATACCAGTACATTTATAACAAACGGTTTTTTGTTTTCATTCGTTCGGCCGCTTCAAACTGGCTGCATAAGCAACATTTATTTTCAATACATTTTTCTTCTTTTCTAAAACGGCATAGTACTTTTTGCGTGTCTACATATTTATTGGCTTAATGAAATTCTTATCTTATCAACTCCACACTCCTTTTCTTTCTTTAAGCAAACATATACATACATACAAGTATTGTGAAGTAGTGATATTCTTATGATTATAAATATTTTTTTAAAATCTCTTAAATATATTAACAAAGAGTGTGTATGTGTGTGTGTGTTGTTTTTGTGGTGCTTCAATATTAATTGAGCGCAACGCAAGAATATTTACTGTTTTTTTTTACTTAAAATTTTTTTTTTCATAATCGTATTTATATTTTGTATTGTATAAGCATAGCATCGCATAGCATAGCATATATTCATATACTTAGTAGTTGTATGCGGTAGTATGTATGTATATGCATATGCAGCTGTATGTATGTAATAAAGACTAAATTCTATGGAAAATTAATAAAAACGAACGTAACGTAACGTAGTACACACATCTTTTATATTCGTATCTCTGCAGATAAGTTTTATAAATATGTACTCGTAAAAATATGTAGGTATGTATGCATTGTAGTTTGAGTGTCTAAATAACACTGCTGCGCGCAGGCAAGTTCATCTTAATAGTAGGTAAATTACATACAAAATAATTAGAAAAATATTACATACATACAAAAAATTAACATGACAACAATCGCAATATCGTTTTTTTTCTAAAAAAAAAATTACTTGTGTTTTTTTGTTTTTGCTATTTTTCAATATTATTACTATTTTTTCTGCAACATAAACAGTTTAGCTATAAAGTGCATTTTTACACATTTTCGATACCAAAAAAAAACAAAGTGTGAAACAAATAATTATGTAAAGAAATCCGGTTTTCATCTCTCAACAAATCATAAATCAATAAAATAGCGTCAACTTTAAACGTACATATTTATTTAAATTAATGGAAATCAAAGTAACATCACTATAATCAGCTCAGCATTAAAATATTCGTTACATTAGACATAGTATTTTAAGTTTTTTTTTTTATCATAATTATATGTATGTAATTATTTATGTATGTAGTATATAATTATGTATGTAAATGGTATAAGTATGTGTATAAAAAAAGTAAAGTAAACAGTTAACAGTACGTATAGGGTGTAGCTTCGCCACAAACCAGAGTGTAGAAGTAGTGACACAAACCACCGGCGAGCAGCTTAATTAAAATGCAACTTATTTTTGGGAGCGCTAGAGGAGATGTGTGTTTAAAGGGCGAGCCAGCAGAGCAGCAGCAATAGCAGCATTCCTTGAGCCAGTGACGACGAGAGCGAGCTTTTACTCTGAAAGCTTAAAAAAGTTTTAAAATAACGCTCAAAAGTACTTCTGGTAATATAAGTGGAAATACTATAGTTATTTTCAGTCACGGAAATCTTTTTCTTAACTCTATAGCTTATTTTATGGAAAAGCTAAACTTTTGTGTGAAGCCTATCGAGGTTCTAAGCTTATTTTTTCAACGTAGAGCTTTTGAACGCTTGAAGTTTCTACTCTTATAAAGATTATTTTGCCCATAATTAGATTTTAGTAAGGCTTCAAGATTCAAACGCACAACAAATATATGTTTTTGGCATACTTTAAAAAGTTCTGATGCAAACATTGTCAAAAGCTCAAAAATTATTCGAAATGTGACTGTCGACTGATCGGATTTTCGTTTGCCCGATTACTCAAAAGTAAAATATTTTGCACGATTAAAGTTTGGAGAGCTTAATTTAACAATTTTTTTTTTGTAAATCTCGCCTTAATTGAGGTATGCATGAATCCGACATTTTGAAAAAATGCAATTTACAAAAGCTTATTGAAATCAGTGTTTTTTCATAAGTTATGCATTTTATAGACCGGTTGTATTCGGACCGGTTATTTTCGAAAGCTTGTACTTCGAAGTTCGAAAAATTACAAATTACACGGTATTTGAAAGGTAAAGTTACAGAGTGTTAATTTTTTCTCAAGCTCAAAGTCACCTTAATTCACAAAGGCCCCCACCAGCAAATTTTATATTTTACAGAAGCAAAAAAAAAACATTATACAAAGTAAATCAAAAACTGAAGATAGGCCTTTTGAAAAAGTAGCTTAACTCCCTTGTTTTTGATACTACCACTTTCAAATTAAAAAAAAAAAATGCATTTTAATATACCCTACCAAAGTCTGTGAAAAACGCAGTTTCGAAAAAAGTGTTGGTTAGGGCCTTTGTGAAATAAGGAAATTTGAAAGCATTTAACCTGTTTTTTTTTTAATTTTTACGGGTTTTACTAATTTAACTATATTTAGTTTGAGATTAAACTTAGTTTTGAGCAAAGCTAAGAGGTTTCAAAATCAAAATAAAAACCGTTTGTAATTTGAAAAGCTTCTGGAATTGATGGGTTAATAGAATTTTAATGCGCCTCAAATTATATTAATAAACGACCGTGCCTATAACGAGAATTGTGCTCTTGCAAATCACTCTTCCCATTCCTAGCATCGCCTAGCGAAACCCCCTGGAGGGCAATTATTGCTTTGCCCATCAACTGCTGTAGGCAGCAGCTAAGCTCTCAAGGGGATAAAAATGCACCAGCTGTTGTCGTTGCTGCTGCTGCTGCGGGGTGGCAAAGTAAACAGCAAGTTGCGGTTGCTGCTGTTGCTGTTGTTGATATTGTTGTAATTGCCAATGCTGTTGCTCTGCCATTGCAGGCAACGGCAACGGCAACGGCATTGGCCATTGCATGGTGTATTGATGGTGTGGTTGGGTGGGTGCTGCTGCAACGGTTGCTGCTGGTCCGACCAAAGGCATTTGTTGCATGTAAAATGTTGACGGTGGCTGTTGGGCTGCATGTTGTTGTTGTTGTTGTTGTTCTCGTTGAGTCGCTTGCTGCTGTAGTGCTAGCTGCAATTGCGTACGCTGCAAATATGCTTGTTGTTGTTGCTGCTGCTGCTGTTGCTCGAGCTGCAATGCACAATTTGCCTCGTAGCAGGAAAATGCCGCCAAATTGCTTGCTGCTGGGGAGGCAACCATTGTTGTTGTTGGCGCTATTGCTGTGGGTGGTGGTAAGCATGTTGCCGCAGGAGCAGCAACATAACTATGGCCGTTGTTGTTGCTGCCGCTGTTGTCACTGTTAAATGCATAAGTCGGCGACACAACTGTGCAATCGCTACTAGTACTGCTGCAGCTGCTGGCGCTGTCACATCTATAATTGTTGTTGTACGTGTCGCTGCTGTCGCTGTCATAGATTAGCGCACCTGCCGATGGCAAAAGTGTTGATTGCAGTTCCAGGTAGTCACTTGCTGCTTGCTCTTCTTGCAGCTGATAGTCGAGCGCTGTTGTGGCTGCTTCTTCTATTACTATGGGTACTGTTGCTGTTGTATTTGCTGCTGCTGCTGCTATTGTTGTTGTTGTTGTTGATGTGGTTGTTGTCGTGTTTGTAGCTGCTGTCGCCGCTGCTGGCTCACTCGCCAATCACGTGCTCAACCACGTCTGGTTGCATGTGCAAATAGTCGGAATCACAGGTGCGTAATAGACGCCATTGTAGACCAGTATGGTGGCCGTCGGCTGTGCCACCGCAGCGTGTGTCTGTATCGCCTGCACCTGCTGCGCTTGTTGCACTTGCAGTTGCTGTTGTTGCTGCTGCTGCTCGGCGCCGGCTGGTGTACAGCACAGTGTCGCTGTTGTGGCCTGTGGCGCCGCAGCGGTCGCCTGTTGCACGTAGATGGTCTGTGTTTGCGGCGCTTGCATTTGCTGTTGTTGTTGGTGTTGTGTTGTGACCAGCGTTACTTGTTGGTGTGGCTGCTGAAGTTGTTGCTGCTGCTGCTGCTGTTGTTGTTGTTGTTGTGTTTGTGCTTTCTGCACATCGACTGGCTGCTGTTGTTGGTGGAGGTGCTGCTGCTGTTGCTGATGGTACTGTTCCTGCGCCTGCTGCTGCTTCTGTTGCTCCTTGTAGAGCACCTGCGCGGCCAGCGACTGTATCAGCATTAGGGTCTGCCGCCGCTCGTGGCCCATCAGGCACACCGTAGACATTTCGACGACCTCACGTAAATGCATCAGGTACTGGTATTGAAGTGGCTCCTCATCGACGCCCCAGAAGTGATTGGACAAGTACGCCTCCAGCTTCTTAGTTTGCGTATTAATGTCAGGGAAATCGATGAAGAACCGTGAGCACATGTAACGTTCCAGAGTCTTGATGTGTTGCGGATCGACTGGCTTATAGTTGCGCACCAATAAGTTACAGTACTTGAGCAAACCGCCGCCGCGTATCTCCTCTGGCTGTCGTGTTGAGATCAATTTCTTTTGCAAGTGATAGAGCGCCTCCTGGAAGTCACCGTACACCGACTCACCGACCACAGTCGGATAGAAGTTCTCCGATATGGGTAGAGCGGCGCAGTCGTAGAAAAGTAGCAGCGAGTCCAAGACAATTTGAAACGAATCCACTGAGAACTCGAACTGGCGTCGCATCGTGTCGACAAATTTCAGTTCGACATTCTTATGACCGGGCGAATTGCCCAGCGATATAAGTGACCAACGGTCACCATCATTGTTATTGTTGACCTTAACCATCTTGCCGACGTAGGCCTCCTTGAGAGCGCATGGCATAATGCGACGCTTGCACACACCCTCGGGCAAGAGGTCCAACAAAGTGCTCAGCACAGCGGACTTGACACGATCGAAGTGCCGCGACGAAGTCAATTCAATGGCATAGATCAAGTCCAAGTCATTGTATGGCTGATCCTCGGAAGCTAAAACATGACTAGCTGCGCCGCCATTCAAGCGCACATCCTTGACTATCACACCAGCGCCGCCCGCACTCACATCCGCTTCCAGCTTGCGTCTGACCATATTGACCAAGTCTTTTAGGGGCACTTCGAGTGTGGGAAAATTACCACGTCCATGTATGGCAACTTTTTCATCCATGACATCGTGCAATTTGCGCACCTGTTCGAATGAAAGCACAGCCAAACGTTGAGTAGCGCCAGTATCGACACTCTCCAATGAACCGTGATCGGAAGCCGATGCTATGGATGAGCCCGAACTGGGTGATGGTGGTGGGGTTTCGGTGCCACCGTCGGAGTGGAAACCGTCATCAATTTGATATACATCCATTCTGTTGGAACGCTGTTGGTAATGATATGACGATTCGGAGTGTGCGTCTAGGGTCCCGCACTGCAAGTAGAGAATAAAAGAGAGAAAGAGAAAACTTATGGTTAGTGGAGTGTTGTTTAAAGGTTGGAAAGTCATTAAAAATACAAAGCAGTAGTAAAAATGCGAACAATAAATAGTAAACTGAAATATTTGTATATATCGTCACCTGTAATTCAAAAAAGACGTAACAATTTTTTTTTTATAAAATGATGTGGGAGTTTTAATTCGATGAAATCGCATCATATAAATCAAAAAGTGAATTTTGAATTTTTTATTAGTTATGACTTTTCGTATTTCACCGATGATGTTTGTTACGACTTTTTGCACTTCAAGTGACGATATGTAAAACTGAAAGGAAAATACTTTGTTCGTGGTATACTATATATATATATATATATTATAGAAATCTTTATTCTAGGTATAGAGTGGGGGGCAAAAGTGGATGAACGGTGTTTCGTTTTTAATATTTACAATGTTTTTCAAGCTAAATTTTTTTTTGATATTTTTTGCACTTTTTTCCATATAAACATGAATTTCTTGTGAAAGAAAATACGCGGCCTAGCAAAAAATAAATAAAAAAGTCAATGCCAGTTTTCCTACACTAAAATTGTATAAGCTACAATACAATTTTTTGGAGTTTTTCTAAATGCTGTATAAAGTTTGAAAATGTGATTTAAATGGTTTTTGTTAAAGCATGAACCATATTTTTAGAAAAAATTATCTCAAAAATTTTAGCTTGAAAAGCATTGTAATATTATAAACGACTGCTATATACTTTTTTTTACTTTCATTGTCGATAGAATTATTTTTTGAATTATCCTCGATATTGTTACGGGCAGCGATCTCATCAATTAATTATTTAGTCTGTAAGATTTTGTAAATCATAGACTCGAAATAAAAAAAAAAAAAAAATAAATTAAATAAAAAATCCAAATCCAAACATTCTTATCGCTATCGAAATTGTTTAGTTATCCCCATCCATATCATTTCGTGATCGTCGTATTTATTGCTTTAACATTGAAATTGGTACAGTTATCGAATTTGTATCGCCCCCGATATTATTTCGTATTCATCGTATTCCTTAAAAAGCAAAAAAAATATTTATACTTAAGTACATATTGATACTGACATAGTACATAGCTATGAGTTTTATCGTTATTAAACTTGTATGGTTAATTCTCAATAGTTAATCGATTTTTCGCCTCCAAATTGAATCTCTAAACATTTGTGAGATTAACAAACATTTTCGTGTAAATATATACATATGTATGTATGTATCTCAAATAGTTTAGTGTTTCATAAGAAATTATATTAAACGAGCGCAAACAACTTTATTACACTTGTGTTAAATAATTTTCATGTGACCTCATTAACATATTTCGGCATTGAGCTGGCATAATCGCCAAACATACAAACTTACGTATGTATGCACAAATATACATACATATGTATATTTAGCAGCTTTATTTACTAATAATAAATAATTATTTTGTACAATTTCAATATCATATGAACACTTTTGAAAAGGCAAAGCAGGCAGACAGAAGCTACTTATACTAAAATTAAGAAAACACTAAATTATTTTCTTAAGAATGTAAAAAAGTTAATAACAAAACAATTGCTTTTGAGGTTAAAAGCAATCTTTACAAAAGCAAAAATGCAAATAATTTCTTAACATATTTTGTTTTTGGAAATTGCGGTGATTTAGATAGAAAGATGGTTTTGACTTGAATTATTTCTAGAAATAATTCTTATTATATAGCAATACAAAATGCTGTTTTCTGACTTAAGTCATCTTTAGCTGGCCTTCTCTACCTTTTTTTTTTTTTTGGAGGAAAACTAACATAAATTAAAAAAAAAGAAGAAGCGAGCCCTTAATGACTCAAGGCTTGTTAGGCCACGCAATCATTGCAATTATTTTATAGTATTTTACATCTTAAACAACTTTTTAATAGCACAGCAAAACAACTGGAGGCAGTTAAATAAATTTTCCAACGATTTCTCCCTAAAAAGTCAACACTTTTATAGTACAATATTATTGCACGTCATTACAGATAAGTGATCCAAGCTTACATAATTTCTATATACTATATTCACACATACGCTTACTATATATACTTACATAGATACATATGTATTTATTGCCTACTTATTTATGTCGGAAGGCGCAAAGGTCAATGACAATCAGAAATGAAAGAACGACTGGAAAAATATGCACATACATACATACATATGTACATATGTATACAAATGAAATGAGATAATAATAACACAGCGTTAAGTGAAATTGGCTTAGCAACGGCGAAGAAGATCGCTTGCTCATGAGCACTTATATTTAATGACGCCCGCACAAAATGCTTTGCGAGTCTCTTAAAATAAAAAATTAACTGAATGTATGTATATGAACTCATCTGTATTTAAATGGCATACGCAAGTACATATATTTGACAAACATTTTATGTCCGCATGTATGTATGTATATACTCATACGGGATGACTAAGTAAGATAGAGGGTGCATTCCAAAATGTCAAAATATAAAGTAACAGTCTCTTTTATTTCTAAACCTCAATAGATTTTTAATGCCAAATGTGCGCAAACATGGTGCTACAGATGCTAGTTTCCTACTGCTAGGTTGTGCAAGTTAGACTGTTTCTTCAAGTGCGGTTTAGAAATAAAAGATACTGATGCTTTGTATTTTGACGTTTTGGAATGCACCCAGACATTCCATTTTTTCACTCGCACTAAGCACGTGATTATCGCGTTTACTTTTCTTCGACTTTATATGGAATGCTGTGATTTATTGCAAAGATTTCTGTCTTCTTCTGTGATTAAAATTAAAAGAAATACGACAATACTTACAAACATTTGAATGTGCGCTAGACCGGGTCGGCGACTATACAAAAGAAAAAAGGTCATAGCCACGCTGGCTAATTTCAACAAATACTTCGAGCGGATTTTGTGGATTTAAAAAAATTTTTACTCGTAGTATTTTACAGCTCTTTGAGATCAGGAAAAATCTATCCTAACAAAAATTGTAATTTGTAAAAATGAATATAAATGAGTTTACTGGCCTAAGTAGTTAATTTAGGTCAATGCAGTCTTAAACGCATATACATTAGGGCGGTCAATTTGTATGCCAGTTTTTTTCGGCGTATAAGGTTTCCAAGCATTTTGCCGTAGTGTCGTAAAGAAGTGCTTAAATTTTGTATGAAAATATGCTTTCTTTTTTTTTAAACTTCCAAAACAGGGCACAACTCCATATTGATTTTATACCCATGGTTTCTTCGGCAAACTTGCTTAGAATTACACGTAGAATCCTCCTATGCTATACGCGCGTGGTAAAAAAAAATTGACCCGCCCTAATATACATACAGTGGTGGAAAAATAAATAGGGAAACGATGTTTTTCTTTCAATTATTTAATATTTTTATAAAATTATAGCTCATTATCAAACAAAAACCATATAAATTCATATTTCAAACTTCGTTTAAAAATTATAAAAACTCTGAAAATTGCATCTAAATTTTTAACTTTTAATCAGATTTTTTAGATTTTTTTCAGCATGTAGTTTTATAGCCAATTAAAATTTAGCAGAATGAAGTGTAAGTTTTAAGTTGCTAAAAAATCGGGTTGATTTTTGGCAATTTTTTTAACGCATTTTCTTCCATACAAAGTACGTTCGACAATTTTTAGTTTTGTATAGAAGAAATCTGATTAAAAAGTTGAAAATTTAGATGCAATTTCGCAGAATTTTTATAATTTTTGCACATGGATTGAAATTTTTATTTATATGGTTTTTGTTATAAATATTAACAAAACAAAAGTAAAATAGGAAACATTTGTTAAATGTTGTGTCCCTATTTATTTTTCCACCACCCTATCTATGTAAATTTGTATGTATGTATATACATTAGACCATTCCGCTTCACAAGCAAACAAAAAACGTCTGCCGTACACATCTGAGTCTTAGGTAGTACTTTGCAAGGCAAATATGCAAAAAAAAAAACAAAACAATTCTTTTCCCCAACCTAGTGGTCGCCTGCTTACAATTTTCGGTGACACCTACATTCGGCAATAAAACAAAATGTCAATAGTTTTCCTGGAATAATCAAAACACTTCCTCAGCAATAGTTTAATAATTTTTGGAGGGCTTTAATTTACTGGCATTAGGGTGGCACGTTAGGGTAGTAATAACTGAGAACTTTTGTGTAATTAATAGAACGGGGTACTACTAGAACGGGTCAATGAACTTTGAAACATAAAAAATTGTCCTCTCGACCCAAGAACATCGAAGAATATCAATCTTTAAGCAAATGCCGAGGATAAGACGAAAAATATAAAAAATGAATGCAGCTACGTTCGGGATTGTTTTTTTCTTTTCGAAATCACCCTACCAAAATACTTTAATTCGAAGAAGTACGGCGAACTTTTCTTTTCTGGCTCTAATGTAGATACATAGTATGCAGGTGTATGCATGTGTGTACAAGTATTAGTACCCCGAAAAAAAAAAACTTTTATAGACAGTACAATGTCCATACGTGCATACGTGTGTATGTATAAAATTCCGGAACTTTGATTCATGTGTGTCGTGACAATTATAGGCTTTCAGAATATCCGGCTTCTCATTTATATTAATTATTACATATTGCTATTAAATAGCTACTTGTGTAAGCGATCGTTTATCCATAAATTTACTCATGAGCAAGTGAAGAATTTAAGCAGGCAATGTTTTTAGGGTAGCAACTCTTTCAGTTATATTTAGTTATGAATAACAGCTCGTCATATTTATTTAATTCTCGGCATGAATATTAAAAAAAAATATATATATAGCAAACAAGCTAAGTTCTAATTAACCAGAATGATGCCGGGTTTCCACTTGGCTTTTAATGACAAAAAATGCATGCCATTAAAATAAAATGTTGATTCGAGTTTAGTAATTATTACAATTAAAATTTTGCCATACAATGCACAGTAAAAATTTCTTAGAATAAAAATCATGCCACATGCTCTAGTAGTACTTGCTGAAGGTACCATGTAATGGTTTCTATTTGGTTAGAATAAATAGCTTGGAATTGCATACATATAGCTCAAACGTACAAGTTTCTTAGAAGCAGAATCGAATCGGCCTAAGTTAAAGCACAAATGACGTATCCAGTAAGATTTGGTACAATCAAATTTTTGTAACATAAAAAATTACATAATCAGAATAAATTTTGCTATATTTTGTAATATTTTTGCACATGTGAAATATCTAGATAAGCTGATTCTGTCTTCATCCAAGCGGGTTCCCTAACACTCCACATTAAGGTAACTTGAATACTTGACTGAAGAAACTATTAATATACATACGTATATATAAACATATATTTCTACATACATATATTAGCTACAATTCACTTTTACTATTTTAAGATAAAACGAAGAAGAAAAAAATTAGTGTGTACTTCATTCAGTGATTCTCACATACTATATCCAGCTGTCGCTCCATAAAAGCAACTTTTAAAAATTTTCGATGCACAGGTTCACTGTTATTGCATTTGAAATTCAAACATTTACATTAAACTTTCTCATAGAGCGCACATAGTTGCATACATATATATGCATGTGTATGTATGCACATAAATTAACATTTATGGAAACAACAACATCGCCGCAAAGGCTTAGCTAAATCTTAGGCATCTCATAATGCACAGTTGTATGCTCCCCATTCATTGAGTTCAGCTCGTTGTGCTCATAAGTTTGTATTTATATATGTAAAAGCATTAGTACATATGCACACATATATATATATGTATATGTATGTATGTTGATAGTAAATTTATAAGTGACTGTACAAGTATACGTCTCGCAATCGCATCGCATCGAATTGCAGCATGTGACTGCTGCATTTATTATTTATTTATTTGTTTGTTTTGTGCTTGATGCACTAGATAATTTTCAGGGCGAAAAATGTGGAAAAAAAACGAAAAAAAAACTTGAAATATAAAATAAAATAAAATTTCCGTGTCATGCGAAATGCAATTAAAGACATCCAAAGAATCATCGCAGACATGGCAGCAGAAAAAGAAAAAAAAATAAA